GCCGAGCCTCAGCAGCCTCTAGCTTACCCTTTGTTTCCTCGAGTTCCTTCTTCAATGCTTTAATATAGTCAATGGCCATCTCCACGGTGCTGGCCTTGCTGATCTGCTGATTGCTGGGCTTCTCTTTCTCCTTTTCACTGCCTTTCAGACTGTAAGGCGTAGCATCTTTCACATTCTTCATGTTGACAAACCCAACGGGAATTAGAGCCTCGATTTCCTTGAGCGCATTATTGATGCGATTACGTCGGCCTTGCTCTGCAAGCTTATGGTTTGTCCGTTTGGAGCTCAGATTTTCGGCCAACGCTTCAGGATAGGATACGCCAGGGAGAAGGGTTCCATCCAAAATATGCTGGTAGTTCGATTTGGACGCTAGATATAAGGCTGATGTCTCACTTGATATGCCTGCTGAACGGGATGGAGTCAGTTTAAATGACTGGGCTGATCAATGGATCTTGATTTTCAACTTACATTCTCCTCGGACCAATGGTTGTATGCTAGGACTTATTTTCGGGCGTAGATTTGGGCTGGGTTGAGATGAGCTGAGACTCTGTCGCTTTCTACCCAATGGCCCGAGTTTGGGTGTGTCTGATTTCTTGCCTACCGGCCCACTTGGAGAAGGCATAGCGACAGTGCGCGGGCTAGGGGCTACTGAACTTGAGGTACGCTCAGCCAAGGGAGTCGGTTTTGGTTCTAGAGCTGGGGCGACCACAGCTGACGTGGCTGGGGATAGGGCATCCGTACGGACATTTCGCAGGGAGGTGTCTATGCGGGCCACTTGCGATTGGGGGAAGTGGGTAGTAGGAGTAGCTGCTTCTGGGAGAATAACATCTTCCATGATATCATCGTGAGACTCGGATGACACAGGACCTGACGCTTGGGCGATTGCGGCTGGACTATGCTGCGGCCGCTGAATGCGCATCAACATAGCTGGGGTCGCAGGCTCGTTTGTTTGCGATTGCGCCGTCTGAGGAGCAATTGCGGGAGATCTCCTAGCAGTGGGTAGAGCCGGAGGCGGCATCAGGGGTTCTGACAGGGGTTCAGGGGAGACGGAATCCTGGCCAGAACTCTCATTGCTTCCATACCGCAGCCCGCTACCAGTGGAGGGCTGTGACCTCGGGCCACCTTGATGTTGGCTGAGGCCGTTCAATACCTCATCCGAGTTAATTTGTAGGAGTGACTTCTTCCGTGTCTGAGGCCGCACCGAAGGAGATTGTTGCTTCTTGGCCCGAGCAGAAAATGTCTTGGTGTTTGATGGTCTGCGTCGGTGGTGTTTCCGAATTAATCCAGGCGAATTTGGGGACGATGAAACAGGAATAGCACTGTCGATGGGCGAATTCACAAACCCGATGTCCGAGACATGACTAGAATGAAACGGAAAGCCGGTTGAATTCGCATTCTGGGCCTCGAGAGCGGGAGAGGTCAGAGGGGTAAAGTACTCCCCAGGAATTGTATACTCTGGCAGCCGGAATTGGGTCTCCAGTGGGGTCATGGCGGGAGACACCAAGGGGGTGTAGAGAGCCTGTAAGGGAAGGAAGGTGCATTAGCCATGCGCATATTGATGTGGAGTTTGTGGCAGGTTGACTCTTTCGCTTACCTGCTCCTCATTTATGCGAGCGTACCGGTCGTACATTTCATGATTTTCATCCACGCGTTGCGGGTATCTGGCCGCACTTCCCTGCATTTCAATACTGTTGGGAGTCGGAGGTATCATGGGCTGGCCGTGAGGCACGTAAGGCTGGGAGGTTGGTTGCGAATGATGAACATGCTGATGGTGCGATTGCTCCTGCGGTTGTTGCAATTGCTGATGATTAAAGATCTGGGAATGTGGAGGTTTCTGGGCATAGAACGCCGGAGTCACTGGGGCATCGGAGAAAGACGCTGGAATAGAGCCGTGCGACTGGCTTTGGTGAACTTGGTTGGAGAGCTCAATGGGAAAATCGCCCATCATGCGGTCATACGACGATGATTGAGGGGCCCCGGCATCGGTCTCCATACGCATAAGCTGTTCCTGGCCAGAAGGAGCGGTTGAGGTAGGCATCGACACGGAATGAGCGATGGAACGAGGAGGGTGCTGGTCAGATGGCCCGTGCCCCTCCATGTCGGGGAAATGCATTCCAAATTCGAGGAAATTGGAGAATTCATCGTCGCTGGGGGCGGTGATATCCGGCCAGGAAAGTGAGTTGTCTTGCTCCATGATAGAACTCATCTACCGGCTATCCTCCTTTTTTTCTTTTTTTTTTTTTTCGGTGGGGGTGGGGTTGCTTGTTTGTTTCTCTCTGTGTTAAAGATTGGCGAACTCCCCTGCTCTGAAGCCTTTCCCCTGTAACGCAACGTCGCAGAATGCGAACCAAGATTCACGATAGATAGCAACTCGAAAGTGTAAATTTTGGGGGATATTTAGCAAAACGATAGGACAGAGCAAGGTTGAGATTTCGGGTATTGGAACAAAGAATATTGAAAGTGGAAATATATGAAGTGAGCGATGGAGCGTCAGCTCAACAAAATAGACTGGCAGACATGGCGACCGTGGGAAGACAAGTTGAATAAAATCCTGAACGTTGACTAACGGCAGAAGATAAAATTAATGAGAGCAGGTTATAGATCTGGTGGGGACAAGACGATGAAGAGCAAGCGAGAGTAGAGTTGAACACAAGCTGAATAAACCGATCGGGCAAGCGACAACATATGTTAGTTTTGTTAGTTAGTTTGTTCGTTACCTAGTGAGTGAGTTAAGTTAGTAGGTTAAGTCAGACAGTCCTCGAAGGTGGTTCTGTGCCGGTGGGCGGAGATACGGAGGATTGCTTAATTAACATCAATAACCGGGGCGGGTTCGGTTTTAGTTTGATAAGTTTGGGGGGTAAAAAAAAAAAAAAAAAAAAAAAAGAGAGAGAGAGAGAGAGAGAGAGAGCTTTTTACTATACGCTAGGTAAGAAAGAAAAAATACACAGGTACATCTCCACCACTGTACAAGTACTATAGTATAGGTATGTATAAATGTGTATATATATACAATACCTCCTACCTAGATACCTACAATGAAATCAGTGTGTATGTATGAATATTAAGCAACTCCTTTTTTTGTTCACATCTCTCTCTCATCTCTCTCTCTCTCTGTGTGTGTGAGTATGTGAGAAAATCCTAAGTTTTATAAATACATAGGTTGAAATGAAGGAAAAGGTGAAAAAGTAAAAATAAATAAATAAATACAAAGGGGGAGAGAGAGAGATTAGGTTGTATTCCGTATGTACAGAACACTTCTAGTAGTTCTACTAAATACCTCCTTTAATGAACTAAACCATTTAAAGAAGGTCGAAATAAAGGAGGGTAATTAAGTATGATTGGACGGGAAGAGAAGAAGTCGGAAGAAGCAGTTGAAGGTTCAGTGGCAGATTATGATTTATACATCCTGAATTTAATTATGTCGTTGTTATCGATAAGAATGATAGGCCATTCAAATGATATATATACTCCCTCAATACATCTCCTAAGCACACCTGTAGCAGATAACTAGTATACAGCGTGACCTTGTGTTATATAAACCCTCAAAAAGGTACATATTTAGGGGGGACAAGACTTCCCCTAAATTGTGTCCCGGTCCAACCATGGATGATGGATGTTGATGGGTCCGTTAGAAAACAGACTGCTCTTTAGCCCTCAACCGAAAGAGCCAATCGGAAAGGCCCTCAGTTACCTAGTGGCAAAATTAGTCTGGAGAGAGAGGAAGTTCTCTCCGGATTGAATTGGGGGTGGATCTCAGGTTCGAAACGAAAGTCACCTTTTTCCATGCCGATTATCCTATTATACAATTTGGGAGAACGGTACGTATCATGGTTCATGACTGACTAGTTATTATCATATGATTACCTGACTGTATTATTCAAGTGTTATTTATTATTCTCTCTTTAAAGGGGGGAGGGGAAGGGGGCGGCAGTTGCGCTTGCGGATTATTATTCATGATACATAAATTTCATTAGACAAAATAATAAATAATAAAAGAAATATTTAACTATTATCATTATTATTATTATGGTTAAACTTTTTGGAATGATGAAACTGCAGTAGTCAGCAGCGTCCGGACTGTATGAATTATCAAACTGATGGACTCTGCATATATATATATTCTGGCCGTTGTCTCCCCAAGCTGGAGACTGGGAGAAGTCAAAAGGTCAACGAAAGCCAATCCTACACACCAAACACCAATCAATCAATAGATAATTTGGCTGTTCAAAAAATTTTAAACAAATCTTCTTTTCTCTCGTCTAATTTACTAGTATGAAACGGAGGAGATTCTCCCGACACCGATGCTTCTGTCCCTTGTGGCTAGCCTCGTGAGTGGATGCTCCCTAGCGCCGTAGTCTAGAATTACAGGGTAAACCGTAAAGGTGGTTGGATGTGGTTTGCTTCAAGTGACTGACTATGTAACTAATGGTTAGTCTAACTACCCTCACTAGCCTAATAGCTTCGTTAGCCTGTAAAATGCTCAAAGGACAAAATAATATGTTACTTCGACTAATGAGGAGAAGGAAGCACCGGCAGTATAGTACCGGGCGTCCTTCTATTGTGCCCTAACTGCTTCGTACACGACTACTCTTTGCGAATGACTATTGATAACTTGTAACATACCTGCTCTACTACTAGCACCAGCCCTCCCCGCTCACCACGCCTATTGCTACTTCTATGATTCTCATCCTGTACCTACCGTGGAGGAAAGAGTAGTGTATAGAGCCGCTGGCTTGACCATGTAGCTAGCATACCTGCCTACATAAAGACATACCGGGGTACTGGACGTTTGTTACCAATGCGGGGTTTGGGTTGCTGGAGGGCCCGTGACTTGAACAACGTGACATGACATGACATAACATGGACATCGCATTCAACAAACAACATCACATCACCGCGCATCACCTCGGCCAAAACTGTTGTCTTCTTCATGTTTATGCTATCCTTCTCCATGTACATGTTGGGGACCTTGTATACTTTCTCCTCACTTGTTATCTACCATGAGGCCACCTGTCCCAGATGTCGCGTTGCGTAGGGCCCGCAAGTCCTCCATCGAACAGCAGTGGACCGAGCCCCGCAATACTAGTACTGCCCCCGCGACCTTCTTTCTGGCCCGCAGTCGTGATCGCAATGCGGAGGAGGAGCTCTCCCCCGGTGAGTCAGTTCCTTCAAGGGATAGTATGTACGGTGTTCAAAGCCTCGAAGAAGCCGTTCTCGATGCCAATCCCCCTGCCTCCGAGTGCGAGCCCTTTCCTTGGGGTGGGAACTCTGATTCCACAACTTTGATCGGACAACAACAACCGCCTCCCCGCGACTATCTAGATAATGGTGATAACGATGCTACCTCATTGCCTCGCCGCAAGTCGACCCTCAAACCCAGCGACCTACTCAATGCTAGCAGATTGGAAATTTCTTTACCATCTTCTGATCGCACTTCCCCTCGACCATTGACGCCATCAAACCTCAGCAACCCAGATGACCCATCCTTTTCTCTCCCCAGCAGTCCCAAATCGTTCTCCAACCAGTCCCTGAGGCATCTCGATGACATCTCGATTACCGATGATATAAGCAGTGAGATTGTGGCTTCAGGTGAAGAAGACAATAATTTCCCGACACCATCCAATACATGCCTTGATAGTGCATCCCAGTTGGTAATGCCAAGTATTAGAATGCCCAGTCGAAGGCCTTTTACAGAGCGAGGGAAGTCACTGGGCCGTCTGAAAGTGCTAATCGCAGGTGCTTCTGGTAAGTGCCGGTCAGGCTAAGAATAGGTTATTGGAATATTTGCTAAGTTCCACTTGCACCTAGGCACTGGGAAAACCTCCCTCATCAAATCCATTGTTCAAGCTTGCGAAGATATCGTTCATGTCGACCCCTTTCCCTCCCTGCCCCTCTCGAAATCGACCCGCTCACCTGGCTCTTCATCTCATTCCTTCCAGACACGCAGCAGCCCTCCATCTATCACGGAAATTTACGCTAGCACAAAACCATATCCCGTATGGTGGTCAGACCTAGAAGATTCGCGTGTTTTGCGAAGGCGACGGAGCATGGGTGATGTAGTCCTGGAGCGTAATCTCTGTTTCGTTGATCCCCAGTCCAATGAGTTGGACTGTGTAGGGCAAACTGACATCATCATACAATATATCCGTCAACAGCTTCTCCGGGCAATGACGTCCCTAAACTCGGCCAATCATGATTTCCAGAATATGCTCGCGGGCAACGGTGGTGCCCAGGTTGACACTGTCTTATACCTCATCTCTGAAGGTACGCGATGAGCCTCCCCTTTTGCTCTATTCTGATCTGCCGGGCTCACGTCTTTTCAGATACCCTTCATACAGATATTGAATCTATCCGGAAGCTATGCGACTGGACAAACGTCATTCCCGTCATATCTAAATCAGATCTCTTGTCATGCAGTCGAGTCTCGGCCCTCAAATCCACATTTCATAAGCAAGCTCAAGAGGCCAACATTAAACCTTTCCTTTTTGGCGATGTATCCCTCGGTGAAGTCAACGGGCTCAACGTTCAGTGTCCTTTTGCAGTTTCGTCTGCCAAGTCCGACGATGATGACGTTATGGACGCCAGCACTCTGATGAGTCCGGACTACGTCCAGCCTTTAATGGCGTCCGAATTAATGATCTTAGTGCAGATGTTATTTGACCGAGAAAATATAACCTGGATGCGACATTTGTCTGCCAAGAAGCTTGCCCTACGGCAACAAGAGCAGTCATATTGGCAGCAGGATGGTTTACCAAATGACGTCCTTCCTGGCGGTCATACTTTACGGGGTGGCTCCTCCAGTTACACCATGGCGCGAATATCTGACTATACTCGTCACGAAGAGAGGCTGGCCCGGGTACAGCTGGCAAGGTGGGCGTCTGACCTTCAACAAAGCCTACGTAATGAACGGGAAAGATATGCCACCATCGCAAGGGGGGATCGTGCTGTCTGGCTCACGGAGCGTCTGGGAGAATGTGTTGTAGATGGTTCATTAGTGCCTATCTCACAGACCCCTGGATTCTGTGGTCTCGGTGTACCTGCAGAAAAAGCAGGTAGCGGTATTCTAGTTCGGACACAAAACGGAAAGAGGGTAGAATGTCGTATTGCACGGATAAGCCCTCATGATCCACTGGGGCTTGTTTGGTGGTCCGAGGATCTTAAGCGACGGGGATGGGCCATCATCCAAATTGTGGGTAGTTTCGGGGTCGTTGGAGGGCTTGCGTTGTGGCTTGCGAAGGCCTGGGGATTATCCTCACGGAGTTTCTCTGAGTGGCGATTTGATTGGTATTGCATTGGCCATTAAGGAGACACGCCAACCACAGTATCTGCGCCTCGTGATACTTGTTAGATATGCATTGTCTAGGATTGAGCAGCAAAGGAAACAAGTGCGTTGGACTGGGCCATCCCCTGCGAGGCGGCGGCCATCATGTAGTGTCCCTGCATAGCTACTTGCTTACTAGCATTGCCTCTCCATTTGCATGTCCCTCGTTGTCCCATGACTGCTCTTCAAGGCCTACGAATCACGCCTAACGAGAATAAATATAAAGCAATGCATGGCGCCTATATTATGCACTGACAGAGTACGGAGTTTTGCCTGTTGAGGTTATTGATCTGTTGTCCGCTGCTAGGGTCCACTGCCTTCATCTCTCTGCTGTGTTACCAGCTAACGTGTGTTTTGGGAATGAATGTATGTATGCGGGACGCATCGGTGGCCGGGTTCCATGTTACTTGCTAGGCTAATAAAAGGCGCTTCATTCCTTGATCGCTCAATATAAGCCAGACTACGCGCAGGTAGAAGGCAGCTTAGTTCCCCCCAGCAAGATCGGACATTAGCATTTCATTAATTCGAGCATATACATGAATATACAAGACTTAGTAATAGTTGAAGCCTTGGCCTTTATTGGAAAAAGGTTCTACCTGTTTAAGATCACTCAATATCCGAACCCGGAGAAGTGAGCGAAAGTAAAAGTCATGGATCAGACGTAATAATTTAATGTAGTATGATATGGAAAGCAAACGCTCAAAACGCCGAAAGATTAAAATTCACATCGTAACTAGAAACCACCTTTCACCCGTCCCAAATGAAACAGCAATACGAGTCAGTGATGTAAGATAACCCTGATGCAAATACCGCTGGAACAGTTTTAGATAATAGGTCATAAAAGCAGTTGAGTTTCGTTTCCGTTGCTGCCGAAACATTTAGTCAACCTCCTCCATGGAGCTCTCGCCAGTGGCAGCGGCAGGAGCCTCTTCAGCGGCCTTCTCCTCCGAGGTCTCTGCCTCCTCGTCAACGTTCAGACCAAGAGACACAAGCTTATGGATGCGCTCGGCAAAGCTGGCAGGTTCGTCGATAGTGAAACCGGAAACCAGGAGAGAGGTCTCGAATAGAAGCTGAGTGATGGACTTGACGGTACGGTCGCTCTCGCCATCAGCCTCGACCTTCTTCTTGAGCTCCTTGATGATAGCAGACTTGGGAGAGATCTCGAAGGTTTTCTTAGAAGACATGTAGGAGCTCATGGAGGTGTCACGGAGGGCCTGGGCCTTCATGATACGCTCCATGTTGGCAGACCAACCGAACTGACCAGTACGGATGGCGCAAGGAGAGCCAACAAGTTTGTGGGAGACAACAACCTTCTCCACCTTATCACCGAGGATGTTCTTGAGGCTCTTGGCGAGACCCTCGAACTCCTTCTCCTCCTTCTCACGCTCAGCCTTCTCCGCCTCGGACTCCTCAAGCTCAAAGTCCTTGGTGATGTCGACAAGCTTCTTGCCGTCAAACTCCTTTAGCTGAGTGAAAGCGTACTCATCAATGGGGTCAACCAGGAAGAGAACCTCAAAGTTCTTCTGCTTGAGGCTGTCAAGGAAAGGAGACTTGGCGACAGCCTTGATAGACTCGCCAGTGATGTAGTAGATTTGCTTCTGGTGCTCAGGCATGCGGGTGACATAGTCGGAGAGGGAGGTGACCTCATCACCCGACTTGGTAGACTGGTAACGGAGCAGCTTAGCGAGGGTCTGGCGGTTCTGAGCATCCTCGTGGACACCAAGTTTGATGTTCTTGCTGAAGGCAGAGTAGAACTTGTCAAACTGCTCACGATCTTCGGCAATTTCGGTGAAGAGCTCAAGGGTCTTCTTGACAATGTTCTTCTTAATAACCTTCATGATCTTGTTCTGTTGCAGGGTCTCACGGGACAGGTTAAGAGGAAGGTCCTCAGAATCAACAACACCCTTGATAAAGCTGAGCCACTCAGGAATGAGGTCGGTGGCATCGTCGGTGATGAAGACACGGCGAACATAGAGCTTGATGTTGTTCTTGGTCTTCTTGGTCTCGAAGAGGTCGAAAGGAGCACGCTTAGGAATATAGAGGATGGCACGGAACTCGAGCTGACCCTCAACGGAGAAGTGCTTGACAGCAAGGTGATCCTCCCAGTCATTGGAGAGGGACTTGTAGAAGGCAGCGTACTCCTCCTGGGTGATATCAGCAGGGTTACGGGTCCAGATGGGCTTGGTCTTGTTGAGCTCCTCCTCCTCGATCTTGCTCTCCTTGACAGTCTTGGTCTTCTTCTCCTTCTTCTCTTCTTCTTCATCAACCTCCTCAATCTTGGGCTTCTTCTCATCGCCCTCCTCTTCCTTGGTCTCCTCCTCCTCGTCAGGAACCTCCTTCTCGGTTTCCTTCAAAACATGGAGGTAGATGGGGTAAGAGATGAACTCGGAGTGCTTGCGAACAACCTCCTTGATGCGGCTCTCGTTGAGGTAGTCAGTCTGTTCATCCTTCAAGTGGAGGATCATCTTGGTACCACGGCCAAGGGGCTCGCCCTCGGTGTCCTGGGTGAGGGTGAAGGTACCACCGGCAGCAGACTCCCAAACGTACTGCTCATCGTCGTTGTGCTTAGAGATGACAGTGACGCGGTCAGCGACAAGGTAAGCAGAGTAGAAGCCAACACCGAACTGGCCAATCATGGAGATATCGGCACCTGCGGAGAGGGCTTCCATGAACTGCTTGGTACCAGAGCGAGCGATGGTACCAAGGTTGTTGATCAGGTCCTAGACAAAAGCGAAATGGTTAGATTGGGGTCTGTGTAGGCATATTGCCAACCAAGGACGATATTGACTTACAGCCTTGGTCATACCGATACCGGTATCACGGATAGTCAAGGTCTTAGCCTCCTTATTGGGAATGATATCGATGCGGAGGTCCTTGCCCGAGTCGAGCTTGGATGGGTCCGACAAAGACTCATAGCGGATCTTGTCAAGGGCATCGGAGGCGTTGGAGATAAGTTCACGCAGGAAAATCTCCTTGTTGGAGTAGACAGTGTTGATGATAAGAGAGAGGAGCTGAGAGATCTCAGCCTGGAACTCAAAGGTCTCGGACATGATGCGGGATGTAGGTTATATTCTATTCCACGTCGAATGTTGTGTTAGTCACAAGTATACCATATAGAACCCCAAGATATTCATTGTAAATCTACGTGAATCTCCGGGCGAGGACAGAAAAGTTCGGAATAATTCTCAGCTTTGGGAGCAGCTCTCCTCACTCAGGTGTTTTTTGGGGGGGGGGGGGGGGATAAGACTCACAAGGTACAACGTAAGATCGTTAAATCACAGATAAAAAAGGACGATGGGAGAGTGAGATTAAAAAAAAAAAAAAGACCTGCTCCAGAAGGGAAAACAGACTTAAGATAGATAGTTGAGGAGGAGAAGAAAGGAGGAGAACAGTGTGAGAATGAATGAAGAAAAGAAAAGCTGCCGCAAGCGACGGGGCGGAGAACTTAATGTTTGGCTGAGGGACAAAAATTCGGCGCGGGCGTTTCTACGGCGATCCAGCAACTTCCACGCTCTCTCCGCCTTGTCTCGACGGGGATCTTCCAGTCTCTTCTACTCGATACCAGATACAACACCACAGCCTGGATTGAATCCATGGTTCTCTAACGGAAGAAATTTTTTTTTTTTAAAAATTATGTATAATTAAAAAAATTCAGAATGAAAGGAAAATTTAGTTCGTTCAATTGGGGCCCGTTTTTCAATTTTTAATTCTCTTTTGGCCTCATCTTTAACCGATCATTTCCTGCTCTTCCACCCTTTCCTTTTGTTGCCCCTCCCCCTCCAAAGCTGATTTCCGATCAAATTCACTTTTATTGTGCCTCAGGCTACCAATCTAGAACGTTCCGCTCCACCATTTGTTGTCGGCGGAATGGGGATTTTCCGTACAGTACCTTACATTCAAGTACAGTACATACAATACCATCCCGATGTCCCCATATCTCTGCCACGATGGAACTTTCTAGGAGCTATCGATCTCCTAAGTACCAAATTCTAGGTACATACGATGTACATAACTCGCACCTCCCTGTTTGATCTTCTGGCCCACGTATCTTTGTGGTTATCGATTCAATGTCTTGAGCTCCTGCAATACACATAATTACATACAGACATTCAACTCGAGTCTTCACTTAAGCTGGGACCTGACCAACAAACGTTGTTTTATCTAGATCACATGAATCAATCCAACTAAAGCCTTCCTCCTACTATGTTCACTGACCTTCTACCAATGAATGCCATTTCTTGTGTATTCTGCCAGAGAAGTGGGAGACAGTCCATACATATAGGGAGCGGAGCTGAGACGGACGGTTTGCATTCACTTTCAGGTAATCCCGGACAATTCATAATACATGTGCAACTAAAAGCAGGCAGCCGTTCCTTCCCTCCTTGCTTGCAGGATGAATTGGATCAGGTGTAACTCAGTAAGAGCCATTGTGCCTGTAGAGGGAAACAGTCGTTCGCCACCCATACCGTGGAGCTCCCCATGAATAGGATGTGTATCAAACATGTATATCAAAGTAAAAGGACAAAACAGCGGCCTCCACCCAGTTTACAGTTTCTAAACGAGACGAAGCATGTCCGGAAGGAGAGAGACATAAAGAAAAGAAGTTAGATTGGAACAACCGTAAACAAAATAGAAATAAGACCCTAAAGGAACAATACGGGCATTTAGCTCGCTATGCTAGAAGCAAGAAATAGTTAAATAGGTCATGACAACACATTTATGAAAACAAAAAATCATGGAAGCACCGACCAATAAGGAAAAGCCCTGTTGACGAAATATGAAAGAACAACTTTTCCAACCGCTAATATGCAGTGTGACAGATGAATGGGTCACATAACACATGTCATTATCAATAAGGGGGAGTAATACATGTCCTGGGTCACCATAAGCATCTGAACCTGTATGCTGTTGCGGGCCAGGATGAAGGACTAAGAGTTGAATGACCAACAATAGAGGGGGCAAGGAGAAAGAAAGAAGAGGAAGCGACGAGTCAAGAAGAAACGACTGCATGCGGTAAATAATCTTCATCCTGATTCCAGTAGTTTCTTTTCTTTTCTATTCTTTTTTTTTGTTGCCTCTCCGGTTTAAAGAAAGGAGAAGTGATCTGCTCTAAGCAGCCTGGGCTTGGTTGCGGGCTTTGGCGTTGACGTTGCCGCTGCCGCCACGACCACGGGGAGCGAAACCACCACGACCATCACGCTGGAAGCCACCACGGCCCTGGCTGCCGGCACGGTCGCCGCGACCACGGCCAGAGCCACCCCGACCAGCGCCGTAGTTGGTATTTCCCCCGTAGGCGCTAGTACGAGAACGGCGTTCCTCTACAGAGATCTGCTCAGTTCCGACCTGGTGCGGGTTGGCAGCAACAGCAGCGGCGTAGCCGGCAGGGTCAGCGAACTCAACGAAAGCACAGTTCTGATGACAGTTAGTTTCCTTCCGAGAAATTACGAATTACGGCGGAACCTACCTTCTGACGGCTCACATCAAAGTGCTTGAGCTTTCCAAAGCGGGACAAAGTCTGCTTGAGCAGGTTTGCATCGACCTTATCAGTGACGTTCTTAATATAGGCCATAACGTTTTGATCATCACCCGCACGAGGCTGGGTCTTCTTATGGTCGTGACCGGCAGTCTGCCAGCCAGACCCATCATTGGAAGGAGGCTGGCTAGGAGTGCTGTCAGTAGCAGGAGTGGCTGTGGCAGCCGCAGCAGCAGGGGCAGGGACCGACTGGGCGGAGCTGGTAGCAGGAGCGGGCTTAACGGGAGCAACGGGAATTGCAGGCACAACAGGAGCAGTAGCACCGGACTTGGAGGCAATGTTGGCCCAGGTCTTTGGTACGGCTCTGGCGGGTACAGCAGGCTCTTTGGCCGGAGCGGTATTCTCCTTTTGTGTTGTTGGGGCAGGCGTAGGCTCCGGTGTGGCGGGCTTTTCCGTCTTGGGCGCCTCAGATTCAGCCAGGGCGGCAGGTTCCTGAACATCCTCGCTGCTCTGGGCCTCAGTTCCATTGACCTGAGGTGCAGGTTCCTCTGGCTGCTCTTCCTCGGCCTTTTCTTCTGCCTGTTCAAGCTTCTCGTCCACCTTGACAACTGTGACTTCGTTGGCCTCCTGGGCCTCCGCAGTCGGGGCACTCTTCGTCTCAGGCTGTGCGGGTTCATCGGTAGCCGGTTGTGCGGCAGACTCGGCAGGCGCAGCGGGAGCGGGCTCCTCATTCACGATATCCTCCTCATCAACCAAGTATCTGAAGATATCATTGAGAACATAGTATCCATTAGGTTGCTCAGCAAGAACGAAGGTCTGGATAAACTTGCGAGATGGCTCGGACTTATTAGAGATCTCACCGATGACTGAGATCAAGATGTTGTCAAATGAAGCCTGAGAATCGACGTTCAAAACACGGACCTTGCAGTCTTGAAAATCAAGCTGTTTGATTTTCTCATTGATAGCCTAGGGGGCGGGTAAAAAATCAATGATGAAGCTCAATGGGAAAAAAAAAAAAAAAAAAACTCCTAGGAGCGAAGAGAGCGGACTCACCTTTTGGCCCACAGCAACAGGAACCGACTCTGCTTCAGTTCCAAAGACCAACTGCGAACGCCGAGAGTAGAAAAGATGCAACTTGTCCGGACTACGGCTCATATTGGTATAGTATTGCTCAACAAAATACCAGCCGACCTCGTCCTTGGAGATCGCATTTTTTTGGTCACTAGGAGGGACATTGGTGGGAGTGGTGGATTGCGCTGGCTGGAAGTTCGAGGCATTGTTGGCAACAGCATGGGCATGGTTGTAAGAGTCATGATAGGCGTGGGGTACAGGATAATTGCCGTTAACGGGAGCTTGAGTATCGGCCATTGTGTTATCGAAGAAAGTGTTGAATGTCAAGTTGGGGATAAAAGCCGAGATGGTCTAGGGTGTCGTAGGAAGGTAGAAGTAGAGGTATATGAGCAATGAGCCTCTATATGACGAAGAGTAGAGGCTAATAAATCTAGTGGCTTTTCCTTGTTCGCTTTGACTAAACCCCCATGTCTGTCAGTAATTGAAGGCCAAGTGTATCGCAGGAGAAAAGGTGGGGAAGATCAATTCTCACAATGTTGAAAGAAAATCAAAAGACCCTAATAGATGCAATAAGATGAAGAAAAGAAGAACGTCTGCGTTAAAAGCGTCTGCGTCGTAGTAGTGCAAAAGGAAAATAGAGGAAGATTCTTGTGCGATCTCCAATCAAGTCAAATTTGCGAAGGAGGGCAAGAGAGAAGATAGTCGAAATACGTTGAAGATTGATGGAGAGAAGGTAATCAACAGGAAAAATCTGATGAATAGCGAGTAGTCGAAAGGAGAATGGGATAAGAAAGCGGTAGGTAGGTAGCTAACAGCTGGAGTAGGAAAGAGGAAAAGAGAGGGCAAGTCGACGGGATGCTTAGCAGTTTGCAAAATGAGTTGACTTGGACTTGAAAGGTCGGTTGCAGTGCGGCGCCTCTTAGCGCCCCATTTCCTTCCCTTACCGCCTGCCTAACTCGCGAGTAGATCTCCATCGGGACATTTCGTTTACATCACCGAATACTGAGTGAATCACCCGTCAGTATAGCAGCCAATACAAAGTAGCTCCTACGTTCAACTGTATGGGACTCTTAAGGGACCAGATCGGAACTTGCAACCGTCCACTGAGGCTTGCTGAAACTGCTTTTATCGAAACAATCACTGACTCATACCAACGAAGAACTATAGTCGAGCATTAAGGTCTATTGACACTTCTAAGAAAGTAGTTACACTTATCGGCGACGAAAACTCAATCAGAAGGTCACACTAGGTGTTAAAAAAATCAACATCAGAAATACATAACTGGCTTGGAAGAGGGGTATGATGGACATGAGAGGGCAAGCTTCTCATCAACGAAGACGTATAGTAGGCACAGAAATTCATTCACAAAGTTCACCAAAGAGAGCCGTGGGACATGCAATATAGGCAAGAGGGAAACAGGTGCTTGTAGGGAAAAAACGAAAGAAAATAAAAAGAAGTAAGGACCACAAATAAGTATCAACTCAAGGCCTCTCTATACGAAACTTATCAGATAGACCACAAATCGTCTACGAGTTCGTAGACTCAACAGCGGCCTTCTCGTTCAAAACTGGCTTGCGCATGACAGCATCCTGACCAGTCATTCTCCGGTCAAGAGCTCGTTCCACCTTCGCACTCAGGGCCAGCTTGCTCAAGTTATCGCTTTTTTCGGGAGTAGGGACAAAGCGTTGCTTCTGGAGAGGTTTGTTCTCCAGGCGCTCCAGCCCGTCGCGCAAGTGATGGAATTCGGCCAAGCGAGGATCACCGCTTGGTAGGCTTCCAATGGTGCCTGACGAAGCAATCGAAGGGTTTCCGCTTACGGCCGAAAATCTTTTCGACGTTCGGTTCTAGGCCCATGGTCAGAGAATCCGGTCCGGCACAGATGAATAATAACCGGTGAACCTACAGAAGGGGCCATGATCGGTCTCTCAGAGTCAAGCGAGTGATGCCTAGCCATGGTAATACGGACACTGTGGTAAGGGTCCTTGGAGGCCGACGGCCGAAAGCAATGAGTGGTTGTGGTTGAGAGTCGAGAGTAGGCAGACGAGTGCTGAACTGCCCAGGTAGCAGCCTGCCGAGGTTAATACATTGCAGAGAAATTTATCTCGAGTTAACGCGAATACGATAAATAAAAGAAGCTATTACAATGATGGATAAGGGGTAAATGATAGTAGGAGGAAATAAATTAAACTGCACAGAAAGTATGGGGCAAGCGGCAAGACTGGCAGTCGGGTAAAAAACATACCTGAAAATACCGAGTGAGACTCTGACCCCTAATAGAATATAGAATATATCGCGAGACGACCTAGAACTGGATGAAAGGGCTGGGAAAGTATTAAAATGAGAAAAATAAGCAGATAGAGGAAAGAGAGGGCTTGTCGCTGAGGCCAAGGAGACCTGTACGTAGACCAAGTGACATGCAGGAGAGGATTCAGGAGAGCCGAAGGCAACGGATGACAATGTGGGTCTCTCTCCCTCTCTGCGACACTCAAGAGGATTAAACTCGGCCACGCGGGAATCGTTGGCCGTTGACCAGTTCCCTTTTATTTAATTTTTTTTTTGGCCTTTTTCCTCAATAGTGTTTTACGACAAAGCAAGATACACAATTCAATCTTGCTTTGATAATTCCAAACCTAACGATCTATTGACGTAGCCATGATGCGTATGGGTGACGGTTAAATACATGAAGGATTCGTCCGTATCTAAAATACTCTGTCAAACTAACCCTATATATAAGTTATAAATATAGATCATTTTGATACTGCAATGAACATCCTCAAAATGCTGTTCGTCCTTTGATGTGTTGAAAAAGGAGACTTCAGCTAAGTCAGAGGGGCCCTTTTTTCTGTGTTTCTGTGGGTTAATAGTAAAGAGGACAAAGGGAGATACTAGTACAGTCCGTTTGCTGACTAAGGGGAGAATCTTTGATTTGAGAGAGCTTTCTTTTTCTCTTCTTGGTTTTCATACGTTCTTTGATTCACGTAGCATCTGAAGCAGAAGATCCACGTTCTTTCAACAGCTACTCTGTACATAGATATATTTATGATCAGACTGCCACGTGCAGAGGCTCTTGGCAGCCACGCGGCTTAATCCTCTGTCGCACCCACGTTGGCTCGACTACCTGTAGAAACTGGAAGCTGAGCATCTTGGCCTTCAAGTCTCAGGGGGAGGGCAGAACAGGATAGTTGTCATAAAAATAATATTTCTTCTTCCTCTCTCTCTCTTTTTTAATTTTATTTTAATTTTTTTTTTTTTTTTACTCTTATCTTTTTGCATCACTAGTAGTCTGAATGTATCTAAGACGATATATATACGAGTACACAGTACAATACGTATTTCCATGTAATGAAATATATCCCCTTCGATAAGATGCCCATACAAATCAGATTACTCCATATTACAGACCAAACTAAATAGTTTCAACTTGAGATCATGGCTAAGGTAAGCTTCAAGAACCAAACAGCGTGGAGTTCGCCCCCGCCATGACTTCATGGATTTTTGGCACTATTAGTAGTTAACTATAACTACCTTGTATATTGCTTACATTACACTAGATGACCTCCAACCAAGTGACAATGATAAGCGGTGTAGAAAGCGGTCTTGGCTCTTGGATCACCCAATTCTTTCCCACGAACCTGGTCACGATAAAAACACACAGGAACTACAAGTATTTACGGGACTTTCTAATTTAAAGTTCAGTAAACCCCTCCCAAGATCGATATTTATTCTAAAACAATAAAGATTAGTTGTCCGGTGTAAAATGCCGAAGCCAAAGTCTCTTCTGAAAGACTCCAAAGCCAAGAACAAAAGGAAAACCACACAGCAGGTACCGCATTCAAGACATTGAGGGATTCCCTTTACCCATGCGCTTGCTCACTTTTGACAGACTCCCGAGACTGCAGATGAGTTCTTAGCTGGTGAGTCTATCTGGAACCCAGACTTGCATCACTGTTCTACTATGTACTCGACGGACAGAGCCTGTTAAATCCACTATCGATGTAGCCATAGCTAAACTAGTACAGTTGGCGTCGAACAGGAAGAGGCTGGCGAAAAATGGCGAGCTGGTGACGCAGCAAAATCTATGCGCTTTTTTATGCGCGCCATTGCAACTTATGATGACGGCATGAAAAAGTATCCTCATGCATTTGACTTGGCATACAACAAGTATGTAAGCAGGCAGCTCTATCCTCACAGTTAGATGCATAGGTGGGCACGCCATTGCAATCAGCAACATAAGCTTACCGTCAAATAGAGCAAGAGTTCAATATGAAATCACCCAGCACCCCAAGTTGGCTGCACAGCTGCCTGCTCCACTAGCAGATATTTTGAACATAACACTACAGTCCCACAGGGAGGCCCTCAATCTAGATCAAGACAATGCGGATGCTCTTTTCAACACTGCTCAAGTGCTCACAAGCCTTGCTGAGGTAGTCACGGATACCAAACATCCGTCTGACGCACAGCTTTGCCGGGCTGTCAAATACCTGCAAGAGGCAATAGAGCTCTTCCAACGTTGTCTCATTATTCAAGAGATGCGATATACTGAAATGCAGGAACAGATCAAATTGATGGAGTCTGGAAATGTGGGCCCGCGCGAAGAAGAAATGCAAGAGCAAACTATGCAGGCGAGCACAGAGGATGCAGGCGAGTCGAAGCCTTCTGATCAGCAAGAGCAATGGGCAGCTGTTATTGAGCCAGTGACCAAGGATACCCTCGTTGACACAGCGGTGGCACAGTTGGAGACGCTCACAACTCTCTGCAACTTGCTTACCTTTAATCCTGGGGTCGGCCTTGGTTGGGTTGAAGAATCCTCTGCAGACTTGCTCCAAGAGAAGATCTCTGCATACGTTGAGGGTTCTAGCAGACACTACGAGGCATCTTTGGCCCGTGCCAAATTTACCTGTGCTCTGAACGAAGTGTTGTACCGAAGTGGGCGAATCGAGGTTGAAACTTATCAAACAGAAATCACACATGTCTTTGGTCCTGATCTAAACCTCTCTGCGGACCCCGAAGGCCTCTGTAGCAAAGCAGATGCGCTCACGTCGTTCAACACAGCCGTTACGGATTTGCCTCCCTCGAATGACCATGAGGTGTTTACGAAGTCACTAATGTTGCGGTGGCAATCGCTATCGGTTGCTTTGGATGCTTTGACAAAGGCTTCCAAACTTCCTGATGCAGATAACCTACCCAAAATTCATGTTGCACGAGGAGACGTAGAGATGAACAGGTGGAGACTCGGCATGCCTCCGTGGGAATACACCATGGCTCAACAAAATGCCACTGTTCTCCTCCAGAACGCTCAAACATACTACCGAGGCGCCGCAGCTCTCGCACGCAGGGACGGGAATGCAGATGAAGAACGCGATGGAACGTGCAAGGAAGCCCTGGCAGCTGCTTTAGAAGGCCAGAAAGACAAATTGCAACAGCTCAAAGCGACCGCATTCAAGGACCTTATAATCGTTGCGGAAGATGTGGTGGATGACGGGTGGCTAAGCCCCGGGGATATGGAAGCACTACTGTCGTAAATCTGCCCCATTTATCAGGTCAGTAAGGCAGCTCATTCGCGCATGGTGACGTTCTGCACGTCGTAGACAACAAGTATTTAGCCACCAATCATATATCCGATCTAGCTTTGACTTCTTCTTCTTCCATCTGTAAAGCCTCCTTGCGAAGATTGTGCTCCGCACCAAACTGCGTAGCAGCGGTCGCAGCGCCCTCCAAGTCTGCAACCACAGACTCAAGATTTGACAGCAGATTCTCAATCTCTGACCTCTGAGACTGGATCCGCTGAGATAAAGCCACGTTTTCGCTCTGGGTAGATTCTATGTTCGCATTCAACGTTGTTTGAGCTTCTTGCAAATGCGGAGCAAGACGTGCGCGATATAGTTCCTCCGGAGTCAAGGTATGGGGCCTAAAAGAGATATTAGCTAAAAGTTGGTTCCATGATAAATCGTCAAGATTGATGGAAAGAAGGGCCCCCTTCCCAGGCAAAGAAACGAAGAAAAAGGAAAAAAGAAAGAAAGACAAAAAGAAAGAAAACGAAGGCGAAGGAAAATAAAAATCATACGCAACATCCCCGTGTCCCTGTCCACGGTCTCTCCTATGTCTCGCCTCCCCCATCAATCTATCCAACTCATTCAACTGCCTTATCGCATCTCTCTCGTGTATGATATCTTCGAACTCAGCCCTTGCACTTTCCTCCAATTTCGCATTCAGCTGCCTCCATACCGACTCTAGACTAGCCGGAACATGTTTTGCAGGGGTGGGAAAGCACCCGGAGAAGTTGGCATACGAGTTTGCTCGCAACGTACGCAACAATGCCTGGTTGAATGTCTTCTGTAAGACGGTAGCGCGCGGGCCGGGTGTTAGAGGGACTGGCGCTGGTGGGGGCGGAGAGGGCGAAGCGTCTTGTCTGGAGGGATTGAGATTGTTGCTGCTATCTTCGGCCATTTCCTTTACTTTTTTCTCTTTGATTCAGTTTACCCCAATCTATTCTCCTTTTCTGATGTCCTTTGGCTGGCGTACGCGATCGTGTTGTGTTGATAAGTATGGTTTGAAAGGTATAAGCCGATGTCTAGAAGGGAACGCGTCGGTCACATGATGGGCTTAAGGTCCGCAGTGGGCCCGAGAGATTAGTATCACCCGTTTACGGAGTAAGTATGATTAACTACTCCAGACTTTCTCTTTCTCTTCGCTCGGCAAGATGAACAGCATCCATGAGTGCCAGTCGTTCGTTGGAAAGGGATAGCTGTTTTTACATTATTTCACCAGACGCTGGTGTCAATGCTGTGATTTGCACTGTCTATGTACAGGCACATATTACTTTACAGTCACTTCATCTACCTGATATCCATCGGTTCCATGTGTCCTACTCACTCCATGATCTTTGAATAACTATATACCGCCGAGCCAAACACTATTGGAACTAGCGAGTCAGACGTCGAACACTGTCGTTCGAACTGTAAGTCTGTCCGACGTGTCCTTCATATTCTTCTCGATTTCTACATCCAGGGTCTCTCACTAGACTCCCTCCCCAGATATCCCGATAAACCGCCTTGAAAGCTGGCCAGGAGATGGACATATAAATAATACTGTTCCAAAATCCCTGGAGCGGAAGAACAAAGCTCGATGCATAGTTCAGGGCAAAGTTGTATGAATTAGGGTAGGCAAGCGAATATGCCCGGTTGACCGTCGAGGGAACCTAAGAACAATTAGCCATAATTTCACCTAGAGTTGACCATAGTAATTACGAACCCACGTGACAATTAAGGCAATGAAGAAGAGCATCGCATACTTAGTATAAGCCCAAGCCGCCGTACTTGTGTCGGACATTGCGCGGCGGCGGGACCACGATTCTGAATGAGAATGTTTTATTGCTTTTAATGGGAGGCCAATGGATTGCCTGCTCATGAAGCCGCCCTCGACGGTGACAGAATACGGGTTGTAGAATGGGGAGACGGGGTTACGCAATTCTTCGGCAGTTGGGTAATTCCCTTGTTGAGAGCGTGTAATTTCACTGGTCACGCGGATTTCTGTTGCTGCCCTAGTGTAGGTAGGCTCGAGGGGGCGTTCGGTATCACGCATCTCGAACCCCTCATAGTGTTCGGCGGCCGGCTCGCCTTCATACCTGGGATAGGAATCCGCCGAGTCGAGGTTGTCAAGCTGCCGCAGTTGGCGTCGCCTTTCCCAGATGACACCACCCGTGCGGATATAGATGGCCAACGTCAAAATAATAAAGAACCAAACTGGACCGTAGAAGACCGCGATACGTAGCCAGTCCCAGGTCTGCGAAACCCAACACCAGAGCTACAAGCTATGTGTGAGGACTAGTCTATTTCACTAGGTTCGGTCACTTACCACCGCATAACCGTAGACCTTGCCCCGGGCCTTGGTCTTAATGAAGAAATATGCGACGGAGGGGATGAGAGGTAACCCGTAGCAGAAGAGGAGATATTTCCACTCTAGCCGTCGTAGTTGTTCGGAGTTGTATTTGTAAAAGAATGTTAAGTAGACATTACAGGCCATGGCAAAAGTCCATAGGGCATCGGCGGGCATGAACCTGGTCACGGTATCAGTAGTTTGGCAAGTGAACCACCTTTTTGTCTCTCGGCTTCTTCGAACTAACCATTGGATCAAGAAGGCCTGGAACTGACACAGGGGACTGTTGAGCCCCATGTGAATGCCTGACTGGGAGATGACGGTAGCGATGTTGGTCATTAAATTGCCCCAGGAGGCGTAAAACACCAGACGGTTGATGGGCTTGCGAAAAGCACTCGAACCGAGGAACGAGACGACAATGATGGTGGTGCCGGTTAAAGAGATGGCCGAGCAAACCCGTTCAGTTACTGAGATGGCGTATAGTTGTTGTTGCGACAGAGACATTGCGAAAAGACCATGCTGAACCCGAAAGCAAAATAGAATACAAAATTGGTATTTGGGTATCACGCGCAGAAAGCCACAATCCAGAAAGCGATACAGAAGCAAAATCCGATATAATATACGTAGGGACGAACAAAGCCCCTTGTCATCTATCACTCGAGGGGGCAATATAGCAAATCAATCAGGAACAAGACCAGCTCTGCGGGCGAGGACGCCCAAGAGGGAGTAAAAGATCTGACGTGTATCGGAGGTACATCGCACAAGAGTATTATTTATGGGGGCAGCCAGTCCTCTTTTAAAACATGACGACATGAAAGTATATGGAGAAACTGCCCATGGCCAGACAAAGGGATCAGAGGGTCAACCTTTCATGAAGTTGGGGTACGGAGTAGATGGAACCGCAATCGTTCTCTCGCCTCCACATGAGTGTATACTATACGAACGCTCATTTGTGGGGTGGGAATGAAGGGGTTCTTTGGGTCTTGGACGCTGGTAAAGTTTGTTCCGAAAAAGGGTGCGATTACACAGTTACTTTATGTATGATGGGGGGAGAGAAAACAAAAAAAAAAGAAAAAGAAAAACCCCTCCATTTCTAACTTTTCGCTCTATCACACCCCGGTCCTTGAACGAGAGAGGAGAAGTATATCCGTACCTACCTATCAAGAAATAACTAAAAAGGGGAAAAAAAAAAGAAACAAACTTCAATCAAGAGTACTCTATAGAGTAATGATAACTGGTCACACGCTTTTTGTAGGGCCTTAATACCACCACCACTACTACTACTACTACTACTACTACTACTACTACTACTACTACTACTACTACTAACACCACCTAGTCAAAAGTCATGATTCTCCCGTTGGTGGAAGTAACTTTGACGGTATGTCCAGAATGGTCCCAACCAAAGTCACGGTCAACGGATCAAAAGACAATTGCTCCCGGCTCATGCTTGGCAGTCTTTATTGGTCCTGTCTTCCAGAAGCATTAAGTTGTCCATAGAAAGAACACAGGTATATTGACCATATCCGCCTATATATATTTATACTCCCCTAGGATACTCCCTTGCGTGACATCACTCAAAGTTGGTCTGACCTTCAATTCCCGACGGATCCCCATTTATTTCCACCCTCCCAGTGGCAGGAAGTGACCATGGCTCTAACTAGTCTGTAATAAGCTATGTCTGCCTTAGTGCAGCAAATCGTATTTATAGAGAAAGGGCAATCCCGTGTGAATGTACCAGGCCAAGTCCAACGGTAAAAGAAAAGGGATGGGCAAATGAACGCCACAAAAGCCCTGTGATCCACACGAAACAAAGAACAATCGTTGTTTAGATTGGGATTTGCACAGCTAGCGGTGGGTGTATGACCCACGGTTGTTGCAAGAACGAAGGGACATGTGTATCAAGTATGGCTCGAAATATATCCTCGCCGAGCCCAGCCTTTGCCCAATAGACAATCGTCCTTGAGAGAAGTCAGGAAACCGATTATGATCACGGTGAACCGCGATTTTTTTTTTTTTTTTTTAAAAAAAAAAAGGGCCATGGTTTACGTAGCTGAGCCTTCATCAATTGACCCGGTCTTTCATTTCAATAAGAATCATAGGGTTTCGGTCAAAACTACCGCGATTCATATGCCATGCCGCATAGACATCCGAATAATGGAAAAATACGAACATGACACTCTATTCAGAATATGGTGGTGTAGATCGCTGTGCGTGGCCATGCAACGAACTGTGCAGCCCGGATAAATAAACCAGTATAAGTGTTGAGTGCGAATTTTGTTCTCAGGTATAACGCCATGCTCCCTCCCAATCTAACACGGACACGTCGTCTCGTCATTTGTGTCGACAAATGATAAGAGTAAAAAGAAAAAGGGAAAAGAAAGGAAAGAAGCGGAAACAAAACAATGAGTCCCCTGTTTCATTAATACGCCTGCTGGGAAGCAACCATCCCTCCGTATCCGGACATTTGCTGTTGCTGTTGCTGTTGCTGCTGCAGCTGTGCCTGCATTTGAGGCAGATCGTGGAACCACGGGTGCTGCAGTGCGTCGTGAGCACTAACCCGCATCTCGGGTCGTAGTTGGAGCATCCTGTTGAGCAAATCGAGCCCGAGAGGATCGATTTGGGGCAATATGAGGCCTAAATCTTGTGTCGCATAGACGTGGAAATTGGGCTTGTATTCTGGCAATTGAGAGATACCGGGCCACGAGCGCTCCGACGGCGTTCCCATGAGACGGAAGATCTTCTGCAACTGATCCTCATTGGTGGTGCCTGGGAACAGTGGACGGCCAGTGTACAATTCCGCCATGATACACCCAGCAGACCAAATGTCAATACTTGTATTATACGTCCTGCTGCCGAGGAGGACATCGGGGGCGCGGTACCATAGGGTCACTACTTCGTTCGAAAATGTATTGACGGGAATGCCAAAAGCCCGCGCAAGACCAAAGTCTCCTAGTTTGAGTTGCCCCTTTTTGTTAATCAAGAGATTCTGGGGTTTCAAGTCACGGTGGAGGACTCGATTCTCGTGACAGAACGCGATACCCTTGAGGAGCTGGTGCATGAATGACTTGATCGTCGCCTGGTCTAGTTGTCCCCGTTCGCCTCTGGTGTCCATGTACTTCTTCAGATCCTTGTCCATATATTCAAAAACGAGCATCAGCTTGTTTTCAGTATGGATGACGTCGTAAAGCGAAACAATGCTCTCATGCTTGAGCTCCTTCATCAATGATATCTCCCGAATGGCCGTTGATGGTGTCCCCTCCTCGGAATCGAGATGAATTTCCTTCAAAGCCACTAGCTCGCCAGTCTGACGGTTTCGGCCCTTGAATACCTGCGACCGTCTGTATGAGCAAAAGCACGAAACTTGATACCGGGCGATACAGTTGCGCAGAAAAGGTCAGAGTGGTGTAACGCCGGGGTCAACGTACAGTGGCATACGTTCCTTCTCCAAGCTAGAGGCAGATTAGTCACAGATTTCCCTCCACGGATTGCATATATGAAGAATGAGAGAAGCGCGCACCTTTTCGAGCTGTTGAAAGGAGCTAGGCTGCTGCGCTTTGTCCATCGTCGGCGACGCGGCAGGGTGCGAAGTTGGGGATTTTGGCGGCGGGGGTTTCGAGCGTTGATGGTTGAAAAGAAAAGATTTTGGAGACACCAGTGTCGATACAATGCCCAGATAAGTAGATGTAGGGTGTTGTTGTTGTTGTGGGTGAGGATTCCTCTGGATTCTTAAGCTGCTGTGATTGTCCATGTCCGTGATCCCCTTTGTTCCATTTAATTGGAGCCTTGTTTTTGAGCCCCGCGGCGGATAACCACAAGGCCAAAGGGTGTAAAAGATCGGTGGTTACCGTACCGTACGAAATCACAGTACACTTGTTATGGTGTAATCCGACAACCAGTTGCTTGGGCGCCTATGTAAGATACGGCACATATATATACATACATACATCCATATTGCAATCTTAGTACTCCGTACGAAGGTATACTTCCAAAAAAAAAAAAAAAAAGGGAATATTCCACAAAACTCTCTGTTCTATACAGTTCTATCATCAGGGGGAAATCTCCCAATACATCAGGATAGAGCCTTTTCACGCAGGGGCAAGTGAGGGAAGCTGTGCGGCAACAGGGGGCAAAATCAGATCGGAGTTGAGACTGCAACGAATATGAGGGGCATCCGGTTCCATCTTCCCAAAGAGTACCGACTCGTTTCGGACTCCCCCGATATTGATTATGCCTATAGGCATACCCCTTTTATATGCTCGTTCAACTAACCTCCATGCTGAAAAAGTGGCAAGACTGCTTCCAAGAATGAGAAGCCTTCCTGCGTCATCAATTGCCTCCTCTGCAGCCGTTTTCACTGCTGGGTGAATATTTTCACCGAACATAATGACTGCAGGCTTCAGAACTCCAGCAGTTGAAGATGGTAGCCATGCACCATCGCTTTCTACCTCTACCCTAGCCGGCGTGCCATCTCGGAGACGAGGAGGTTTCTCTAGACATGTAGGACAAGACGGGTATCGGAACGTAGAGTAAGGTGCCTCGGCTAAATCCACATCTCCATCTGGGTTAAGCTTAAGGCCTTTCCGTCGCTGCTCCTCAGGATTATCTGTGTTAAGAGCCCCGGTGTCAACCATCTTGGCCAAAAACTCTGCCCAGGCCGGATTAAGCTTTTCGAGGGACTTCTGGAATTCGTCTCGGGGAAATTGATTTTGACAGCTGGTACAGACAACCGACCTTAAGTAGCCATGAAGTTCGATGGTTGGTGGTTTCGAATGAGCTATTGGATGGAAAGAGTCGACATTCTGTGTCACTACGGAGCTGAGATATCCCTTTGCGCCGAGGTCCCTAATAGCCCAATGCGTTGAGTTAGGCTTTGCTTTCACAAGGCCTGGCCAGCCGACAAAGCTCCTAGCCCAATATCTCTTGCGGAACTCATGTCGTCTCAGAAATTCATGAAAATATATTGGTCGATATGTTTTGTTTGTGACGTATGTGCCATTCTCTCCTCGATAATCGGACAAGCCGGACGCCACCGAAATTCCCGCACCAGTTAAGAGAACAGTTTGAGAATACCTTCCGACATCAACTCCGCGAAGGTAGGGTGACGGAGGGGCAGTGAAAAACGACAACAGGGCATCAATAGCTCCTGAAACAGTGCGGGCTGATTGCGGCACAATTACTGGTGGAGGCAGCGGGCCGGTGAAGGGGATTCTGATCGGCGGAGTCGTCATTGAAGCCACATAATTGGCAAAAGCTGATGGAAGGGGAAAAAAAAGTTGCGTATGTTTGAGAAAGACTGTCGCTAGTTGCTCAACTAATTATAAGTGTCCATGGGGCACCGTTGGGACAATGTCAGTATTTCTATTGGGTTGGCTACTGATCGCAAATGCCGTCATTGATAGTTGCTGACTCATCCAATTCATTCCCTAACTATTGCACAGGACCAGCTGATAAGGGTTTGTCTTAATGGCATTCTGCGGAAGGCAACAGTTCTTATGCATATGTGCCTTCATGCTCGCTGAACTGCATCTCAACGAGCATAATATCATATAGAATGTTCTATCAACAGGGTTTAGCTCATGGAAGGAAGTTTCGATTGCCTCTTTGTAAAAGTGGTCTGTGCATTCTAGACTACCCCGGATTTGTAACCACGTGATCGCCGAACAGAGTCTTCGAGCGTCATCGTTCTCAAGTCACTCTCTTTCGCCCTCACAGAATTGTGGAATCCATGATAAATTTTGAGATTTTTTGTCATTCTTTGCCATCAGTAGCCTAGTATCGGACTGGGTGGACACCCAATTCGTCGCTCTACTTGTGTTAGATATGTTTCACCCGCCAGTTGGCAATATAGATCTAGACGCTCTCAGCGGTATTTGTGGGTATGTGTCTGGATGAGGAGGTGTACAAGATGACCAACTAATGTTGATTAGATCTATATCCATTGCGTGTTGGGTTGTTGTGTTTTCCCCCCAAATCATAGAGAATTTTCGTCGTGGCTCAGCAGATGGCCTCTCACTTCTCTTTCTCGTTGTCTGGTTAGCGGGCGATGTATTCAATATTCTCGGGGCTGTCTTGCAAGGCGTTCTGCCGACGATGATCATTTTGGCTGTGTACTACACACTCGCCGATATTGTCTTGTTAGGCCAGTGCTTTTACTATCGAGGATTCACCCTGAGAGATGAACCGTCACCACCGAGCTCGCGCACGCAGGAATCAGATGCCGAAGACCAGTCTTCATTTCCTGGAAAGGTATCAGAGCGAACAGCTCTACTATCCGCAAAGGCCAATGGTCATTCGTATCAGGTGCATTCTCATGAGCACACGGGAAACGGCTACCCAACGCCAGGGCCATCCGGTCAACAGTCCTTCCCACACCATCAAAACCACAGGAGACACTCAGCAACCTCCTTCAGGGATATCCTCCACCCTAACGTAGATGGAACGCACCTTTCTCCTGTGACACCTTTTGTTGAACCTTCAGCGAAGGAGACTCGTCCTCCGCGCAGCCTTTCCGCCCTCCAAAACGTCCTATTCAAACTCTCCGCCGTCGTCTTAGTCTGCGCCGCCGGTATACTCGGCTGGTACGTCAGCCCTGGATCATCAAAAGGCGAAGACAAGCAGGATGATAGTGGGTCTCTCTCCTTCGATACACTGGGTCAAGTATTCGGCTACCTATGTGCAGCCCTGTACCTTGGATCTCGTCTGCCCCAGCTACTACTCAACTACCGACGGAAGTCCACGGATGGTGTATCCTTGCTGTTCTTCCTCTTCGCTTGTATTGGCAACCTAACCTACGTCCTTTCAATACTCGCCTACTCCCCAGTCTGCAACGGGGAGTACACCCAAGGAAGGGTCAGCCAATGTCGACCTGGCGAAGCTGGTGCCCTGTATGGTCGGTTTATACTTGTGAACTTATCTTGGCTAATCGGGAGCTTAGGAACACTGTTCCTTGATATGGTCATATTTGTGCAATTCTTCTTGTATCAAGATAATGGGTACGGCGAGACTGAGGGAACTAGCGAGGAAACTTTGAGGGGGTGATTTCGTTCACGCCCACAAGCACTCATGTTATACCTCTGGTCTCCTTTCCTTCTTCTCTCATCTTTGCTTTTGTCTGTCCTTATTTGCCTTCAACTAAAAATCAAGGGTGGCGTTACGGACAGAGGTCGGGAGTCAAAAGGCAACTATTCTTCTTTCTTAGTCTTGCGCATCAGGCTATGCTTTCCTTCGTTGCGGGCGGCGTTTTGGGTTCTCTTTTTAACTCCGTGTATACAGATACTTTGCCCTCTCAAGAAAATATCCCACCAGATCGTTACGTATCAGGGCTCATCTCGGCGGCATATTCTCATGTTAGAAATTAAACACTAACCCAACAGAAAGAAGAAGGACATCGCTAGAAGCGACAGCGGCCACAGCGCCGTCAGTGCCTTTCATCGTCAGTTGACCCTGAAACACAGGGAGACCAAGCTGAACTCCAAATCAAATACAATTGTATTGTGATCAGTCGCTTGGTGGACGAGGCTCCACCTTTCCTCTGCTTACTTCCGACCAATTAGTGCTTAGCGAGGTGCCCTGACTTTCAAAGTAACTTTTATTCATGGCCCGACGGGTATTCTCGTCTGCGTTGGCGTAGAGTTTCTTAAAGAACGTATCGACGGCGTCACCACCGCCAAAGTCTGAGTCAACCGAGTCGGCACCGTCCGATTCGTCTCCAGCATCGTCCGCTTTTGGGCCCTTTTGTTCCCCGTCCTTGGCCTTGCCTTTGTCTTTAGGCTTGAGTTTCTTTGCTGTAAGCGACGACGCCAACTTATCCCAATCTTTGGGTCCATTGCGGGATGAAGATGGGTATGCTGGAGCAGAACTACTGGCAGGAGTTGGATCCGGGACAGCCTGACGACCAGGAGGCTTAATGTTGACTGCGGATGCTTCTAGCGCACTCCATTTCTGGCCAGGAGCACGTTTCTTTAAGACAAGCTCAATCTTGGTAGACATGACAGAGACCTTGGAAGAGGATGGGTCGACCGACGCAAACAAAGGATCAAGGGTGAAATCAAATTCAGCACCAGATGGGAGGGGGAATTGGAGAGATACCTGTAGGTTGGCATGGTCAGTATATTATTGATTGATACCCGTGGAAGGGAAGAAATGTCTGTAGATGACCTTACCGATTCATCTTTTAGTTCCACGTCCACTCCATCTTTGGATACCCCTTTGACGTAGAGAGTCACAACAACGGTCTCATTAGATTGATACCACTCATGCCGAACCTTGTCAGACGGAGGGACAGTGGAAGGAGCTGCAGAAGAGGTGCTTCCAGCAGCACCACTTTGGCCATCCGACGTCTTGGACGTCGAAGCTTCTCTTGTGACCGTCTTGTTGGCTGCGGCAGGCTCACTCTGGACGATGCTATCCCCAATTTGTCCGGATTTGAGAGTATCCAACTGGTTCTTAAGCTCCTTCTCGGTCGGAACTTGGACACCACTCGGGTATTCCGCAATAGTAACAACAGCCTTGTTATCCCCCTCAGGCAACTTATTAAGCTTGCTTTTGACCTTGAGTATCCAGATAGGCAGCTCCTGCTCATACCCATTCTTTGATGTGGATTGAGGACCACCGGCCATACCCATAGCATCTTTCATCCTTTCTGATTTGTTCACATTACCCGCGCCCGCGCCGGTCTTCCCCTGGATGATCTCGAATACAAAGCTCGCATCGCCATATCTTTCAAGCTGGTACAATGCGACACCACGTCTCAACTGAGCAGCTAAGATTAACTCCCTCTTTCCACGTTCCCGCGCAAGGGTTAGAGCAATCTCCGCATCGTGTAGCGCTGCTTGGGAGTGGGGGCCTCCATCTACCGGTTTGACTCGAGAGTAGGCGGTCGATCGTTTGAGGTAGTATGGCGGTGCGCGGGGTAGTTCGACTAGTGCTTGTGTAAAGTAACGGATAGCACCGGGGAAGTCGGAGCTCGCGAGGGCCTTGTCGCCCTGTGTTGCGGAATTCATATTAGCTTGTGGGAGCTATGAGCTCCGCAGCTTAAATGTATGTAGGGTAAGCTTAACACTGGGGTGCGGGGGGCTTGAAACAGGGGAGAGGTCAGAAGTTATAGCAGAGAAGAACAAAGCTTAGTTTCTATTCTGAGTTGAAGAGATGGTTCAATGGATGTTTCCATCACCTTTCTTTCGGTTTCTTTCTCTCTGCTTTTTTGGAGACTGCGGGGAGGCTTATGTCAGCGGATTTAATGCGCGAGTTCAACCTCTTAGTCACATGCAGTCACATGGGCTTGATGTTCATTAGATTATCTTCCATTACAACCGAAAATCAAAAGCTATTTGTACATGTATTCAACCATTTGCCAGGTTGTTTCTCTCCATATGGCGGGTTCAACTCTTTACAGGAGCTCCTCATTGCCAAACTTCCTGCTATAGAGTCCCAAAGCGCGAATAGGCCAGTAGAACTTATAGTTAGGGTATGAAATCATACTGGACTCATGTCAGCGCCAACAATTCTATGACACAGATGGAGACTACCCACCAGGATTGGTTGAAAACACCCTCGATAGCTTCCTGCAGCCACTCCCCATTGGGTTGCTGGCGGGACATCATAAGTTGCATGGCCTTGCGGAGGGGCTCCTTGTCCGGGTAGCCTGCCTCCATCAGGGCAAGGCATGCCCAAGCAGTCTGACATACTTGGGATTGCTCATGTTGGGTGTACACATGTCGCTCGCTGCTGAGGTAGGATTCACCCCAACCTCCATCTTCTTTCTGCTTGGAAATGAGAAACTCGCAACCCCGACGGGAATAGTCGCTATTTTCATAGGTTTCTCCAATGCTCGCGAGACTTTCCAAGGCAAACATAGCAGCATAGGTGAAGCAGATGCCCCAAGATCCATACCAGCTTCCGTCTGCCCTCTGCACACGTTTGATGTATTTGACAGCTTTTTCTTTCGCCGCCATGATCTCGTCGGATCGGTAATCGGGATAGAACTTACTGAACAGAGATAGCGCAGTGACGGAGGCAGTGGTACATTCAGGGTAGTCGTAACCAATCATAATCCCACCGAAAACCTCAGCGGCATTCAGCCACTCCACCTTTGGCGATGCACGGGTGGTCTCATACTCTGTAAAACCGCCAGAAGGATTTTGCATGAGCAGCAAGCAGTCAACGCTATCCTTTAAGCGCTGTGCGGATATCAATCTAGGATAGTTGTGTATCTCTTGAAGTTGAATGCTAGACCGTAGGCCCTCGGCTGTGCAGTCGCTAACTGTGTAGCCCTGAGTTCTGTTGCTGAAGGGCCATGCGCCCTTCCGGTGTTGACGGTAGCACTTCTCCTGATCTGGTACATTCTCCCGCAGTTGGTGATTATCAAGAAATTCCAGAGCTTTTGTGAGCATGGGTCGCCATTTAGGATCATTCGCGAAACCGGCAATGACGATAGCTTGGGTGATGAAGGATGTATCCCACACCTGAACACCATTGGTGCCGTTCATCAACATTCCCTCATTCTTCACCCACATATAATCATTCAGACGCTCTCGATGACGACGGACCGAGTAGCTATCAGGTCCGTCGTGGAGGTAACAAGCAACCATGTTCATTGGGTTGCTCACAGGACCAAGGCCTGCGTAGTCGGTATTTTCGTCTTCCATGCGAATCAATTCCCAGGTCCATTCTTCAGCACGGCGCACAAGTACGGGAAGCCGCAGGTATGGATTCCAGACATTGACTAGAATGGAGTTGATCGTGTTCAAGAGCCACGTCTTCGGATAGTAATTGTCAGCCTTGTGGATAGAATTACGGTGCTTTGCGAAGTCGATAGAGTCATACGGCTCGGTATACAGCTCGCTTCGAAGCTGCTTGGTAAGCGGATCGAGCGGATGAGTGAATTTCTTAGACCACAAGTAAGACATGGGCAAAAAGACCTGACGGATATGGATCCACCACCGCCATGGGGCAAATGGGACCCAGTCGGGGAGAAGCCTAAAATAAAATTATCAGTACTCAGAGCAAACTGATCATCGACTGGAGGTGAAGGGAAGACAAATACGAAAGGGGCAGTGCGGACCAGATTTCGGGAGGAACGGGGTTGACGCAGTCCCAATCCATGACTCCAAGGATACTAAGCCAAAATTTTGCCCAGTGGGGTCCATAAATGGCACCACCGAGTCTATGTAGGAGACCACGGGCCTTGATCATTCGATGGTCGTCTTCACTGACACCAATCAAGCGCAGTGCAACATAATTCATACAGGTACCAAACACGGAGCTATGGGCCTCGACGTGGAGACCCCAGCCTCCATCTTCGGGGTGCTGACGAGCGAAAAGATATCTCTTGATCTCAGTAGCATACTCCGGAGGAATTGGAGTGTTGGTTACATAATAGGTGATTAGGAGTCCTGGCAGCAGAAACATCGGCCCACCATATTCACAGGCCCAATTACCTGGGGGAAGTTGCAATTTAGAGAAGAATTCCAGGCCATTCTCTGCACACTGTAGTGGCGTTCTCGCAGGTGGCAGCTTAGGAAGTCCCTGTAGGGAAGTCAGTCTCACAAGGCTCAAAAACCGCCCGAAGAAACAACAAGAACAACAATTGGAAAACAGTACCGTAGGGAGCCCCAGAAAGTACTTGTCAGCCACCGATTGAGGCCATTCTGCATTCTCTTCATCTGATTCGAGGTAATGCCAGGTCTGACGACCATCATTGTCCAGCAATCTCCACCTTGAGTAGTCTGTTTTGGGATCTCCATTGGCATCGGCGGTCAAATGGCCCTGCGCCGCGGTTCTCCAGGGAGCGATAGGATCGGCCATATCTGCTACGAGTGTGTCCGGCAGTATCTTTGCTTGAATGGACTAGCCCGAAAGAGCCACCGAACCCCGAGAGATCAGTACCCTCTGGTAAGCAATTACAACAAGTGGACGAGAATATGGAAAGAAACGCCGAATGATAGATCTGGGGTTGGTCGATCCATAGACTTAGTCATCAGGGGCAGTATTTGTTGCCTGAACCATGAGGCACCACTCGATTTCTGACAAGTATGGTTCTGTAAGTACGTATATTATGTATACATCTGCGTGGCTTGATTTATTTCCAAATGTTAGTAGAAGCTCTAGTAATAGTTAACCTGATTTAACTGCACTTGGTGGTTCTGTTGTGACCAATTGCAACTCGATCATGTTGCTATATTGTGCTTAATTTGGTGTCTTCTATGTACCCTTCTTCTTCTTCTTTTTTTTTCTCTTTTCTACCTAACATCCATTCTTACATATTCCATCATTCCTTGCATCTCATGGAGGACCATGTGGGGTACAGGGGATTGGTCTCCCCTCATCCTACTCGTTATGACAGCTATATGTCGTCTTCCCTCCGCCAAGTCAAGCGATACATCGACGAGACCCTGGCATCTGCCCTTGACGAACTATCCACACCAGACGGTCGACCAGCCATAACACTTAAACGAAGCTCTAGGAACGTGTCACTGTTTATCAATCCCACAAGTAGAGCTCTTGAAAGCAATGGAACAGACACATATATTACCTATTCCTGGCCCGGCGCAAACACCTTCGAAGCATGGAAATTTAGTATATGCATTGTTTCATTGACAACACTACCACGGGGTGTCCATATACTGATCGTTATGACAATAGCCGTTGTTTTTCGAGTTCTTGCAGCTGTTGCAGATGCTATTGACACAGGTTTAGTAGTGTCCAAAAGGTCTGCGATTCGCACCAAATTTTCTGCAATCTCTGATGCCTAAGCAGAGACATATACTACAGCGATCCGGCATGCTTTGGGACACAGAGAACTGTTGACACAATCGTTGGTGATCTGGCCCACACCATTGGAGTCGACAGATCCGCATTGAATGTTGTATGTGAGCTTCCTTTACGATGACTATACTTGAATTGATCCTGTCGGTCTAAAGCCTTCGGGCAACGCGACAGGAAGCGGCTGCGAAAGGACTCGTGACAGGCTATTGTAGCCTTCTAACCAAGTTTGGGGAGACCATGGATATTCAATTGCCTGCTAAGGTATACAAATCTGAAGGATAAAGGATACTCCGCTCCCTATGTCAAAAGGTCCCAACTAATCCGGGTAGGACTGTCTAGTACCAAATTCACAGGATAACGGTGAAATTGACATCTCAGATGCTAGCTGGGTCTTGATCATCGAGAAAGAGGTGCTACCATTGCCATATGATCTCATCACGGACACTCATTCAGTACACAGGCCATCTACCGCAGACTTACAAGAAGTCAATATCATACTAGAGCGGCCGCAGGAAAAGGGATCCTCATCACTGTAAGCCCTCCTTAACCTGCATAACTGGGTAAGTAATCAACAACGACTAGGGGAAAGGCTACCCGGATCTCTCAACTAGAGCCTTCACACGAAAGATATATGAGAACAGCTGTAGATCAGACAAAGCCCTGCATTTCTATGGTCTAGTTGACAGCGACCCCGACGGCATGGCTATTATGTCAACATACAAATACGGCTCAATGGCACATACCAACCAGAATGGAAGGTTAAATATTCCTTCTCTCTGGTGGTTAGGCCTCCGAACGTCAGATGTCGTATCTGGAGCGCCGAGCAACGACGACGGGGCTTTGATTAGATTGACAGTAAGGGACAGAAAGAAGGTCATGACCATGTTATCGAACAACCCTGTATGGGCAGCCGAAGGACCCGAGCTGGAATGGCGTGCAGAGCTGCAGCAAATGCTCATGTTGAACCTGAAAGCAGAAATCGAGATACTTTATGATCGGGACGAAGGACTGGAAGGATGGATTGATCAAAAAATGGCAGGTTTCTCTCCACCGGATAACTAGGGACGACATTACCCATATAAATGTATAATTCAAACAAGCTATTTACTTTCTATCAGCTCTGTCGAAGAAGACCCACAAAGATAAGGAAAGAGCGAAAACAGGCCCCGATAGAAGCGCCTTAAATAGTAAGAATGTACCATAAACGCCATGGCCCCACCGCCAACCAAAGAGATGCATGCATCCATACCAAGCTATGCCATGCGCCAGCGAGATGGCTACAAGCACAAGTTCGGTACAATGAAAGAGGCACCATGCCTCTCCATCATATTCCAACTTGGCGAATAGGAGAACACACCTACAGTCCCAAACCCTTCCGTACCTCATCACGAACCTTGTGCTCATAGTCGCTCCTCCGTTCTCTCCACATCTTTGCCGCTTCAACATTGGCAGGGCTCTCGTCATTTGGCTCAGCAAGCATGCTCATGACCGAGATAAGAATCTTCTCAACGCTCTGGATAGGTGACCACCGCTCCGACGCATGCTCATAGTGGTTCGGATCATCACCGGGAGGATGAAGAATGGAAATACACACGGTTCCATTGGGATACACTGTCCGATCACAAAACATAATTAGCCAAGCTCCAAATCTCCTTCTAACCACACCCGCCATCATAGATAAGAACATGGGAAGGTACCATTAGGATGCCAAACCCCTCCACCCACAAACTTCATCGTCGGCGGACTCAACGGATAATCTTTCGGAAACTTCAACTCGGCAGCAAAAACTCCACCTTCAAATGGTGTGCCTTGTGGACCCTCGATCAGGGCTTCCCAATGGAACATGTCATCTTCAGTGACGGGGCCGGCGGTGATGCCATCTGGCGGGTTGGTGGAGAGGTTCTTGTACTCGTGGAAAAGACGTTTTTGCGCGACAGTAGACATGGTTGCTCTCTAATTCTGTTGTAAGGATATAAGTAAAGGAAAAGTAGAAGAACACAAGCTCGTGGGCCAATGAATTGTTTGTCGTTGGATTATTCGCAGTTAGGCGGTTTTGCGGAGACAACGGAGTGGGGTTAAAGTGCGGTCTTTATAGTGAAGACTATGGCTTGAAGATAATTTATAGTTTTTTTGCCCCTTTTCTATTCGGATAAACTGCGGTAGCAATATGAAGCGATAACAACCCTTCCGGTTCAACGACAGCGCAAGTTGATAGAAAGGGAAAACGAAGTTGCCACTGGACAGAAGGAAAAATGATGGCTGATGCCCCAGGCCGCACATGTTGTTGCCGCTACTTATCACCGAGGGTTCGGCCCGCATTTATGCTTGTATTGATCGGCATTGCTGCATCATCAAGACGAAGAGGTGGGGGGGAAGAAAAGGAAAAAGAGAAAGCCTAAATCAATGTTCATGTCCTAACTATAATACAAATGTATATCTCTATACCACGCAAACAACGCTTCTCATATTTGACTCCTGTAAACCTGTAAATCGCCGCCCCAGAGTAAACGCCTTGCAAAACAGGATTAAAACCAATCATAATCATCACCATCTCCTGCGTCGGTATCGTCTGCCGCCCATGGATCCTCTTGACTCTGGGCCCAAGGGTCTTGTGGTTCATCGGCCCAGACATCGCCATAAGGGCCTGTTTGACTGGAGGTAGGTGAGTGCTGGTCTCTTGGGAGCGCTTGTTGATCTAGTGGAGCAGACTGCGACTGGTGCTCTCCCGTCATGCCTCGAGACATCGCATCATATCCGGCCATCGCTCCAGCACCGACGGCACCTGCAGCTGCACCTTCGGCCAATCCTCCAGTTGCACCGGCCCGGCCGAGAGTTCCCGCGGCCGCTTCACCCACAGCCCCAGCTTCACCGGCAGCGGCACCACCAGCCGCAGCCTCTCCGCCAACGCCGGGGATCCAGATAGGCATGAAACCAAATCCACCAGTACCACTATGGCGACTGAAATAGTCGAAGTCGATGCTTACTGCAGTAGCCAACATGACTGCACGCTGGTCGAGCGTCATGCCGGTAACCGAATTGGTTTGCGCAGGTACCTGTTCAGGGCTAAAGGCAGCCGAGTCCATTCGTAGAGCATAGACACCAGTGTCTGTAAAGAGTTCGCGAGCGAAGCCCGCAAAGTTACGGTTGACGGATCCGATAAGTTGGTCATTGGCCGAGCGAAGGGAAAAGTCCCACGACAGGAAAGGCTCATCAACGTAGGCGAATTGATTAAACTCGCCCATAGCTTGACCACCACTTGCCGTTTGAGTTAATTGCATCTGCTGGGCGTCAGAGAGACCGGCCTGCAAAAGCGGTCGGGATACAGTGCCCATATCTGTCGCGCGGCTCGGGGAGTGATGGTAGGTGAATAGGTTGTATTTCCGCCGTAATGGTGCCCACTGCTGTTGGGCCTCGCCGATCACGCGCATGTCATCCAGCCCTAGTGATGACACCCGGGCATTTGAATCTCCTGTGGCCTGGATAAGCGAGCCCGGCTGAACGTTTTGGAGAGAGGTTGAAGAGGAGTAGGCATTTCTAGCAACATCAAGAGGGTCGTACACGCGGATACGGGAATTAATCCATGAGAATGGTCGATGAAACTAGATAACATCAGCGCAACACTAGAAGCTAAGAGTGTTATTTCAAAACTCACGCGCAACACTTCATTCTCGTGCCTATCAAAGACGTGCGTCACAAAACTCCTATGGGTTCGGAACCACTGTCGAGCCATCATGTTGGTCATTCCTCGCTCCTGCTCCGCCATGTACCCGATATGATGCCCGTTCGCATCCATAATTACATACTTGTTGGCTTGCTCAAACCCACTGCGAAGAAAAGCGCCAAGTTAGCCGATAGATTTCCGACGTTTTGCGTAAGCCGGAACACTCACATCATGACATTCATGAGTTCCAGTTGCCGTTGCACAACTAGGCCAGAATTTGCTAATATACCCAATGCAGGGTGGTTTTCCTTTAATACTCCACGAGGATCTTCTGGTATATGGACCGGGGAGAGCAGAGTGTTGTGAGCGGGGTCATAGTTCGGATTTAAGGAACTGGCATCATTTGCAGCTGAACTTGGTTGTTCCAGTTGTTTTGAGGGTAGATTTTCCCTTCTGATGGGCTCTGGTCTCCGTATTGAATTCCGGGGCCCACGAGAGCTAATTCGCCCTCTGGTGAATGAACTCGACAGCGCTCGGCCGGGGGCTTTAAGCCAACGCAACGGCTGTAGTTGGAGTCTAGCACTCCACATGCCTGGGGTAAAGATAGCGACTAGTATAGAGTAAGTTGACTTGGAGTAAAGCGTGACTATTGCTGCAGAGCACCGCAAAGGACAATGGGATGTTGTTGAGATAGTGGAACGAAGTAGTAGGCGGAGACCATGACGAACCTGTCAATGGAGTTAAGCGGAGATAAGGGTAGGCAGAATCAACCAGAAAGACCAGTACTTACATTTACATGGTGAACGGAGTAGTACCTACTCCATCCTAGGAGCAACGGAATCATTTCCACGAAATTAGAAAAGAACCCGCTTCGAAAGTACAAGATCATGGAATTTGACTAGTCAATCCCGATGTGCGCATCCTCACTGTAAGCACCAATGAGAGTTTACAAATGCTATATATACAATCTATATTGTCTAAAGACACCAAATCACCTTGTGCTTTGCATTAAGACGAATTTGAACCGATATCACAAGAATTTTTTCTTTTTTTTTTTTTAAAAAAAAAAAAAAAAAGGTCTAATCGCATACTAAATTATGGGTCACAGGACACCCTTCCGAGCCAACTCGATCTTGCGCGCCGCTTCGCCGGGTTGGAATCCTCCCTTTGAGATGCAGATAGCACTTCCTTCGCCAAGTTCGATCTTATCTTCGTTGTAGGGGTGTGCGCATGGGCAATGATGAGGAAAATGCACGCAAGCAAGAGTACCAGGACATAGATATTTGTCGCATTGAGCTGTAAGCGTGGAACCTGTTAGCCATTATCCAGACAGTATGAAATAGCGCGCAACGAGTCATAATCAAATACCTGACTCCCACATCTTTTGATACCGTGAGCTATCACTGGGCTCATTTTGAGCAGCTTGCTGCTGATGTTCTTGACGTCCGCCGCCAAACATGTGCTCGAAGAACTGGAACTGAGCGTGGGCCATGGAGGCCAGGAGGAGCAAAGCTCCAAGGGTCCGGATCCAGGTATGCAGCATTGCAAGTAGAGCCCAATATATGAGTATCCGAAGTTATTAGTGGAAGAGATATTATCCCTTTCCCAATGTAAGCAACATATCACTGTTTAAAGTAACTTGTGTAATTTGTATGCAATAAAGCCAACTCGCGCAAACACACGTGACCTGCCAAGACCCAGACTGGCCGCCGAAGAAAAAGTCACCGAAAGGAACCTCGAGCAACTCCGTCCAACATTCAGGAACATTGGGGAGTCGCCCGTCCCTTGCAAATCAACATGTTACAAAAAAGACTACTGGCGCCCCTCCGGGTGCTAGAGAGAGCAATCGTGCCATCGCTCCGCTCATCACAGCCAATCTCCCGACCACCACCACCATCAATACTCTCACGAACCAACACCTCCGCATCGACACCATTCTTGAACCGCCTCCTCCCCTTCTCCCAAGTCCGTCACGCCTCCCATGCTACCCAGGGTACGGCGAATCGACATTCCCGTGACCCCGCCGGAAAGCGTCTCGGTGCGAAACGCACCACCGGTGAATACGTCGTTCCAGGCTGTATCATTTTCCGTCAGCGTGGAACGAAATGGTTTCCAGGGGAGAATTGCGCACTGGGCAGGGATCATACCATCTATGCCACCGAGGCAGGGTATGTGAGATACTACTTGGATCCCGAACGGCACCCTGATCGGAAGTACATCGGCGTCTGCTTTGAGAAGGACGGCAAATTGCCTACGCCTCGGAATGCCCCGACCAGACGGAAACTGAACAGGGTCGCTGTCCCTCGCATCGATGACGCCCCTACGCCGATTGCTGGACAGTCGGATCTGGTTGCTACTATTGACAATGGTACTATGGTGTCTAGCGTGGAGGCCGTGAACG